AAATAAATGTAATAATAATAAAAATAAATTAAAAGACCAAGGAACAACATAATTAAAAGGAAAGAGACAATTCTAGATGTTTCAATTGCTGATTAAGGATAGGTTTTTCCCACTTAATATGCAATGCCTCTTTGATCTTAATTTGGTATTTTGAAGCGGCAGAATCTAAGATCGTGAAACATTCAGTATCACAAGAGTCAAGACAGGCCCTTGATGATTGCAGGTGCTTGTAAATATGCGAAGTTTTGTCCGACAAGAGGTGCTCACGAACTCGTGTACAAATGTGGCGAGTGGTCTCACCAATATAACTGACATTACAGCCAGCACATGAAAATTTATATATGACACGCGAACGTAGACCTAGCGGTACTGAATCTTTCACACTGAACATGTTTCTGAGTTTAAACGTACTGAAGACTAACTTAACATCTAAATCAGCTCTACAATAACGTTTGAGTAGTTGTCTTAACTTAGTCTGAGCGATGTTCGAAAACCAACCAACATAGGGAAGTTTATAATAGTGCGAAGAAGGTTTACGGGAGTTAGAAGAGGCGTTCTGCCCAGTAGGAGAAGGATTATTTTTCTTCGCTAGATACCTGTAAATGATCTTGTCTATGACCCAAGATGGAAAACAATTTTTCCGTAGCAAGAAAATAAGTTTCTCAGATGTACATTTGAATTTATATTAAGGTACGTAATTTGTAACGTACCTTAATCTAAATTCAGATGTACATTTGAATTTATATTAAGGTACGTAATTTGTAACGTACCTTAATCTAAATTCAAATGTACAACCGTTAAATGCTCATTTGCAACTGAAGATGACATGAGAATGTCGAAACATGTCTTGTAAATTTAAACTCAAAGTTGTTGTTTCTTTTTAGAGAGTTATTGTCACTCTGCTGTCTTTTCGTCCTTTTGGTAACATATATATATATATATGTATGTAACCAATTATTACGCTGGAATGCTCCTTATCAACTATCAAAGTGCTCAATAGTTGGACTAGAGCAGTAGATAATGTTGTCAGCAAAGAATTGGGTTATTTGGTCCAAGACATTTAATTGCTACTCAGAGTTTCATGCTCCATCAGGAGCAATCATCAGCCAACTGCCTGAAAAACGGTTACATTCAAAGTTATTTGAAAAAAACGGTTACGTTCAAAGTTTTGAAAAAACGTGTGGCGCGCGTTACGTGCGGCGCGAGCTAATAATGTGATGACATTTTTAGCAGAAATTTCTTAGTGTCTACAGGACGATGCTAATTCATTTCGGTTGTTTAAGGTTGACATTTCGGGCTTACACAAAATAAAATACTTCTCCCACAAACACAAATTACAACTCTTGGTGACGTTTGAGTAAGATCTTGCCCGTTTTACTTTGCGCCATTTAATAATGTACTCAATGTTTCGGTCTTTCAGGTTCCAAATATGCTTACACTAAGCTGAGTTGCGTTTCTATAACGTTCATCACGGAATGAGCAAATGCGGTTTCGATATCTTAATTTGAATGGAGTATTACAAAGTCCGATATACGTTTCCCTTGTTGTTTGCGTGGTTACTCGGCTTGGTATATTATGTTCTCCACGCTGCAGTTACCATCCATGGGGCACGTGTCCGGTTTACGGCAATTACAGTTTCTGTTATTTCCTTCAGCGACTCTGGATTTTCTTATTTCGGCTCTGTTGTGGTTGGAGATAATTGATTTAACGTCATTCATGCAGCTGTAGCCTAATTTAACGGTGTTCCGATTGAAAATTTTATGTAGTGGATAAGATTTGGGGAAGTGCTGGTCGATCAGAGAGAGAAAGCATTTTCCAACATTTGTTTCAACGTTTCTGCTATACGGCGGGTTGTACCATAGAATGTTCCTTCGTCTGTTCCTTCGCGGGCTTGATGTCCGGCTGATTGACACGTTATACGTTAGTTTGTAACGGTAGCCGCTTATATTAAGGGCTTCTTGAAACAGGTGCCTGGCATCATCGAAGCGTTCTTTGTCGGACGAAATTTCTGACAGCCTCTTGTTTATGGATTCCGGGATGTTTCTCAGGATTGACGGTGGATGGTTGGAGTTTTTGTGCACATAGAGTGGGATGTTCCTTTCTTTCGTAAATGGATAGTGTTTACCGCTTCGGAGGTCAAGCGTGACATCTAGAAAGTTAACCATAGTCGTGTTGGCCTCGACTGTGATCTTTAACATTTGCTCATTCCGCAATGAACGTTATAGAAATGCAACTGAGCTTAGTAAGCATATTTGGAACCTGAAAGACCGAAACATTAAGTACACTATTAAATGGCGCAAAGTAAAACGGGCAAGATCTTACCCAAACGTCACCAAGAATTGTAATTTGTGTTTGTGGGAGAAGTATTTTATTTTGTGTAAGCCCGAAATGTCAACCTTAAACAACCGAAATTAATTAGCATCGTCCTGTAGACACTCTAGG